TTTCGAAGCGTAGTTTATGCACGTGTTACCGTGTTCTACGCATTCACAACATGTTCACAGTGGTCGATATCCACACTGTATCATATAAAAACGATTACCAAGATTCGTTACGCAAGACCAAGTTTTAAATTAGTTGCATTTTGAAGGGGTGGGCGCTTTGCCGAATGTGACCCCAAATATAAAAATTGTGCAAAAGTGGGGGGTGGGCGCTTGCCCGGGCATGGGCGCTAACGTGGTCGAGTACGGTAATATTACAGATATGTCTATTTCTGGTGTATGTGTTGTCAATGGCAACAAAAATCAGCTCAGGCGTGTCGAGGAGGAAACTATATTCCGCCTTGGAACTAAAGAACCCCATGGAATTAATAAACAGTTCAACTCATTTGTTGAGCTCACTACCTAATGCGCGTTATTTGTTCTGTTGTGGAATTTTTTGTGATTCTAACTTATAGTTCATGCGTGTTCTTACGTTCCTATGTTCTACCTGTACGTTTTAACATTTTCTATAAGCTATCGATAAAGATCCATTGCTCGAAACGTCTAGCTATTTTTAAGTAGTTATTTAGGACTACGATTACCAAATATTATCTTCTATATATCAATATTGAACATAAGTAAGCAAATAACACCGAATAAACGGCAAGGTAAAGACTATGTCTAATTATAGTAAATACGTACTGCGTGCGTGACTCGAACCGGCGCTCGCGTACGGCACCTAATTGCCTAGCTTCACGCCACTACACGTGAACATGACGTGACATATTGAACATATTGAACATGACGTGACATATTGAACATATTGAACATGACGTGACATATTGAACATGACGTGACATATCCAAATCCCAAGAGATGTCGGCCTTTGACTAAACAGAAGAATCAATCAATCAATTAAACAAAATAATGTCATCATATCATGTCATCTGAAAAGTATCCTACCTGCAGTTTGTACAGGTGCCAGCCAAACCACACCAGGTCCATGTGTCGCTGTGTAGTTAATTTCAAGTTGAAACTTATCACCAACACTGCATTTCGTAGGAATGTGTAACGCTGTTCCATAACTTGCAAATGGTTTCACATCAAACGCTAAAGATTCACCATTTGGTTTCTGGATCACTTTGTGGATTTGTAAAGTGTCATGAGAATCAAGAACAACTGAAAATTCAAAATGTATACACAATTTAAATGTTATATTAAGTAGGCCTGTTTCAAACAAGCTGTTTAATTTTGTTATAACATGATGATGTCTGACCATAGACATATTTTGGAATTGTACCAAGAAATTGCATTCTTGTGTAGCATGGAAGAGCAAAAGAAATGGAACTGACAATATATTCTATGTACAAATGGAATCTGTTTTCTGTACTAAAGTTGGAATCCTTGCTTATTGAGGATCCGGGAAGCAAAATAAAGAATAAACTGCATTTCAAAAGCTATTTGATATGTGAGGTATGTAAACGCTTACAACTAAATTAAAAAATAATGTCGCTGAGAAAAGTCTTCAAGTCTTATACAAACTAATTAAATTTCCATTGATGATAATGTTAGCATTTAGGTATTTTTTTTTTTAAATATTGGGAAATATTGAGTGTGCACCTTATCCACATATATGGTATGAAACATACATGTATTGATTACAATTTGTGATAGGTGACATTTAATAATTAGCAGACAATTTTAAAATATGGAAATCATAATTATGGTAGAACTGCTCTTTTTGCTAGCAGACAATAATTATGTCACAAATTACAGTTAAAATATTAAGTGTGCACCTTAACCACCTATGTGGTATGAAACATACATGTATTGACTACAATTTGTGATAGGTGACATTTAATAATTAGCAGACAATTTTAAAATATAGAAATCATAATTGTGGTAGAACTGCCCTATCTATATGCTGG